ATATAGGCGTTAACTGCTTCTTTCCAATGTTGCTGCCATCCACACCTGATGTTAAAAGTGGGCACAAGGCCTCATGGCTCCTCCTGACCCGAACTCCCGTGTCTGTAAATAGCTTCTTCAGGGACCGGTGCCTTTCGAGTATTTTGAAGGCTTCCGGCAGAACAAGAGGCGACGAGCTCAGACAGAGCAGACAAGCGTCACTATAACCATGTCTGAGATGGTGCTTCTGATCCGGAGTGCACTGGCGGACCTGGGGAGAATGGGGCACGGCCTGTTCGGCGATGTCACGGATGCACTGGGACATCACCCCACCAACACTTGGGCAGTGACTGGGCAGGGCCAAGTCCTGTAGGACCCGCAAGGAGTTTAAGCCTCTTAGAAATAAGAACCTTCCTAAGAATAAGTCTGGAATTCACATACTCCCTGTCACTACAGGAGCTCAGGGAGATTTTCTTGCTTTCCTCTACCTTACGCACGTTCCCAGGAGGTGATAGATACGTGCATTTTGAAGAGGCTATAAACCCATGTTGGGTCATGTCTTCCTGGCCTTGGAGGGATGGCTGCTGGGCTCCCACTCCTGCCCACCCCCTTGTCCCTCGGTGGTGTGCTCTGTCCCACCCCATTCACTAAGTGACTTTCAGTCCCCGAATGGTACTACAGGGCCTTGGCTGTCACCTGCCAACTCCCCTGCTCTCTGTTGCTGTTCCCATTCCCACCCTTAGGCGCCAGAGCATTGACGGGTGGCTATAACTCCTTCCCTTCTCTCTGAATTTGCGATGCATTCCATGCATGGTTCCTATTGCCCATGCGGGCTCCTCTGTGATCACCTGTCTGGGTCTGTGTTGGTGGCATAGAAAGGACAGGGGTCACACCGCACCTGAGCCTAGGCCAGGAGCTGACAGAGCAGACCACAAAAAACCACTGTCCCCATGTTCACCACAGTGCTGTTTCTGAGCATCCCTCAGGGCCGGGCATTGTGCTGGTCCCTCAGCCCCTCGTTTACCCTCGTTTAATCCCCTGTGGCATCAGTCCTAGTGTCCTTTGCTGTGGATGAAGGAGCAGTGGCTCAGCAGGTACCTGACTTGTCCATAGTTGTGCAGATAACAAGATGCCCAGGGGGGTGGCTAGTCATGGGCCCAGCAGAGGGAGGGGAGCACCGTTTAATGAAGTAGAAGGGCCCTTACATCAAAATCAAAACTTGAGAAGACTCGAAATTAAGTTTCTGGGGGAAAAGCGTATAGAAGAGTAAAAAGCCAGGGACACTGGAAAAAAAATGAGGGTCTTAACGGCGAGGCCGGCAGCGGCGGCTGGCCCTGTGGGAACAGGTTCAGAGGAAACCGCGGGCCCGGTCTAGAAAAGGCCACCGTGGGTTTAGAGAGGGAACCCCCATGCCTGTTTTTCACTCTTCGTGGCTGTCACTGAATTTTCCAGTTTTAAAAATTGATTGTAATCTCAATTCTAAACTTACAGCTGGTGGGGCGGGTGGGGCGGGGGAGGGTCATAGTTGAAATATTTAGCAGCCTGGACAGCACAGAACACAGCCCAGGCACGAACAGTGTTCAGGCCAGGCCCTAGGCGGCGCCGCCTGACCGGCTGCAGTCCTGCTCGTGGCTCCGTGGCACTTGGAGGAAAGTCAAAGCTGGAAGTAAAAGGGGACTTGAGAGCACATGGCACAGAGACAGGGATGGATTCAGAGAAGTGTCAGGGTGCGGAGCGGGGGCTGGAGGGGAAGAGCGGAGGCCAGGCTGCCCCTCGGCGATCCTGCTCCGTCTCTCAAACGTGGGTGCTGGACCATCGGAGCATCCACCGGAGTTTCCTGGGACTTTGCTAAAAGGTAAATCCCGGGCCTTTCCCAAGATGGGCCCAGCGTGTCCGGGCTGGAGGCAGGAATGTGCGTGCTCACCCAGGCCCCTTGGCTCCGCCAGACCATAGTGTTTGGAAAGCAGCGTCCTCACTCCTCCAGCCCCCTTCAGAAGACCATACTGAGGTCACCCCTGGCCGCTTCTTCATCTTCTGCTTGTTGTTCCCTGACAATACCCACCAGCCCTCACCATTCAAGCCACAGTCCCGAGGCGCTGGGCCTCAGGCGCTGGAGGAAGCAGCCAGCGGGCCTAAAAGCCAGGAGAGGGTTTGGCGGGCGAGCCCCGGTTGCGGGGGAGGCCGCGGCAGCGGGGTGAGGCCAGTGTCCCTCCCGCAGGAGCCTGAGCAAGTTACTAAACATTTGTGGGCCTCAATCTCTTTGTAAAATGAGAATAATAATAATAATAGCTCTCTGGCTTAGAGTCAGTTTAAGAAACAAAAGAGATGATGTATGTAAAATGCTTAAGGCTGTACCTGCTATATATAAGCTTCTAAACGTTCATTGCTTAATATTAGCCCATACACTCCAAACCAGTGACCATGAACTTGGGTCGTTCACTCCCCTGACATACATCTGAGTCCATGCTGACATGGAATGCTAGAGACAAAGTCTTGGTTGGACTGTTTCTTCCTCTTCATTAGTGGCCTCTCTTTTTCAGCCTTGTTTTAATGACTCAAATATGTGCAATTTTGCACCCACACAAGCAGTTCAGTCTTATTTTAAGCTGCTTCATTGTCTGTGAAGTAAATGTAGTATAAGTGAAAAAACTGAGAACGGTAGTGAATGAAGATAGGGCTGGTCAGGTTATAAATGGGAAAACCAAAATGTAAGAGAAGTTACATGCCCCCCTCAAAGGTCACACTGCTGGTTAGCGTAGATCCGCTGTTAGAGCCCGAATAGCTGCATGTCCCCTCTGAGCGGGCAGACAGCCTGCCCCAGCCAGGCTGCAGCTGTGGGGAGTGCAGCCTGGGAACATCCTGTTCATGGTTAAGAGCAGCCATGTACCCAAATTTGGCTTCAGACAAACTTAGCTTCAGCCTCTGTATCAGCCTAAGTCTTGTTCTAGACTTTGGGGCTTTATGAAGGTCGCAGAGCCAAAGGCTATCTTCACTGTCACTTCCAGAACTCCTGAACCCGTGTCTAATCAATGATCCTGTGAGCGCATGACTTCCACTATACGTCTTCCGCAGAACCACATCAACAACGCCAGCCATGCTATTTGGGTTTATTGCTAATATCAGAATACTTGCTTGCAAATGTATGTATGCATTTTGGATGTAACTTGGAAGGAAAGATCACCGTATCGGCTTTGCATGTTGAAATTGTATCAGTCAGCAGAAAATGAGTGTATATGTATCATTACAAGGAAAAAACCACTATAGTAATTAATGATGTTTGTGGAAATCACTAATTTCACCCAGAGAAAAACTTATTAACAACTTTTAAGTAGTTGAGTAGGGAAATAGATGGACAACTAATACTGAATATTGTGAGTGCACTAACTAGGGAAGTTTAGGAATGATAGTTCTGATGTGGTGATTTATAATAAGAAATGTACATTTGGTCTTAGCCCCCATTTCTGGCATGGAGCCCCTAAAATCCATGAAGTTTCCTCAGTGGTGAGCTCCATAAAGGTGAGGTGGGCGTCTTGGTCTTCCTAACAATCCCCTTTCCACCCCAACAGGGGTTTATTTTAATGAGGTGACTTTTAGAGGAGACCCAGACATGGAACTAGAGGGCGGGAGATTTCAGTCCCTGCTCCCCACCCACCCACTCACAGCCTCCAGGGAGAGGATAGGGGCTAAAGACGGAGCTTGGGCACCAGCTGCCGATGATTTACTCGGTTGTGCCCATGTAGTGAGGCCTCCATGAAAACCCACAGGCTGGGGTTTGGAGAGCCTCTGGTTGGCGAGCGTGCGGGGACAGGGAGGCTGAGCGTGCTTGGAGGAGGCATGGAAGCGCCTGGCCCCTTGTAACAAGCTGGTAATCTAGTGAGTAAAATGTTTCTTTGAGTACTGTGAGCCACTCTAGCAAATAACTCCAACCCCAGGTGGCGCTTGTGGGAACCGCCCCCGGCTATAGCTGGTCAGTCAGAAGCACAGGTGACAACCTGGCCTTGCCACTGGAGTCTGAAAGAGGGACAGTCTTACAGGACTGAACCCTTGACCATGGGAGGTGACGCACCCTCTGGATAAGTAGTGTCAGAACCGAGCAGAGCTCCAAGGCGCCCAGCTGGAGTCTGGAGCATCGCTTGTTGGTGCTGTGGAAACCACACACATGCACAAGCCACGGGTACACACGCATACACACTGGAGTTGGTACTAGAATCATCTCAATCGTATTCCCTTTTTGAACCCACAAAAATATTTGTAGCAATTAAGTAATACAAGTCAGCATAATGGAGAATACATTTTAAATCTAATCTTTTCAGAGTTGTTTGCACTACTAAATTAATAACAACAAATGAAATAACCTATCAGAATTCTATTGAACTTTTTAGAAATTTAACTCCACTTAGTCCATGATTCTGGCTTCCCGGTGGGGCTGGGTTGAAATTAAGTCCCTATTCAGACCTGCAATGCACAGCACAGTGACGGTAGAAGGCACTAGCCACTGAGAAGGCTGAGCGAGACTTACGGAAATGGAGGGGCAAACTTAAAGATTTACTCCAGTTTTTAACCATCAAATGTGACTTTTTAATCAAATTTCAGGTTTGTCCTTGCTCCCCAGAATGCACTCCAGGGGGTGCCACACTCTGGCGAGGGCTGCACTCTGCTTCAGTGCTGTTCCTTGCGGCCCCCATGTGCACTGGGTGCAGCCAGGAGGCAACAGGAAGCCAGAGTGCCAGTGAGCCCGCTCCACTTTCCCCTCCCCCAGCCTCTGCTCTTCCATCCAGCAGGGAAGGGCCCAGAAGGGCCACGGTCCCGGTCTTGTGCAGACAGGACCTATGAGCAGGATTTGGACTCAGTGAGGCCTGGGAGGTGGACGGCAGCCAGGTCCTGGGATGTGTGCTTCCCCGGCTGTGTGTGTCCTGGCTTGAACGCGGCAGGGAGCCCAGGGATGCCAAGTCCCAAAGCTCAAAGATGAGGAGCACAGCAGGTCACCTCTCACGTGCATTTCTCTCTCTCCTGCTGGGTAGTTTGTGAAGTTTGCCAACATCGAGGAGGACACTCCATCCTATCATCGGAGCTATGACTTCTTTGTGTCCCGCTTCAGTGAAATGTGCCACTCCAGCCACGATGACTTGGAAATCAAGACTAAGTGAGTAGCGGAAGGCAAGGGGGCGTGCACAGTGCATGACGGAGGCACCGATGGGTCTTACAGAGTTCCCAGCCCAGACTGTGGGTTGGATCCCATCCGTGGCCACCTCTGCTCTGACATCACTGGGGAGGAAAGAGCAGCTGGTGGAACTTAGGTGGGTAGGTAGGCGGTGCTGGGCTCCCAGTGTGCGCTTTCTAAGGGAACAGCCTCTGGGGCAGAAAACTAGGTGGATGTAAGATAATGGTCCCATGAGCCCAGTGTGGGAGCCAATGACAGCACACACGTGCACACACACATGCTCTTTTGTTCAGAAATGCATGCATTTATACACCCAGAAACCCCCTCCCCCGGTCACCGTTATCCACCCAAACATCTGCCCACCAGTAAGAAGCGAAGTCCTTGCATTGGCCGATCCCCACTGCCTTCCTGACTTCACCTGCTCCACTCTCCTCCCACGCAGTCCCCTCCAGCCACATAGGCCTCCTTGCTGCAAAGTCTTGCCAAGTCTGCTCCTGTGCCTGGAATGCTTCCTCCGCGTGCATCTCATTCCAGCCTCGGCTCCAAGGTCCCCTTGTCGATGACACCCTCCCCTGAACATCCCACCCACCACTCCCCTCCCCCCACACCCTGCTCTGCCCCCCCGCCCCGCCGCCCATGGTATGCATCCTCTTCACACATGTTTCATAATTTCCTCACTGCGTTTCTTATTCATTGTCTGTCTCTGCCCACTAAAATGTAAGCTCTGGGAGGGCACGAACCATTGTTTTGCTCACTGATGCACCCCCATTGCTAAAGCAGTGGCTGGGGAGCAGCAGGGACTCAGTCAATGTTGGTTGAGTGCGTGCATGCATGAATGAACAAATGTTTTTCAGATAAATCTCTTGAATTACTGAAGACCTTTACATATGCATACTCCAATGTGAAAAAAAATACTTAGCTCACAATACTGATCAACATAGAAATAAAACCCCCCAAATAAAATCACAAAGAAATTACATGAATATGTGCTGACACAGAGGGATAAAGCAGGACACGGCATCAGGCTGATGAAGCAGTAAACAGTGTCCTGTGGCAAGCATTGTCCTTGGAACTACAGGGCCCAAAAGGGTTAGAAGTAGATCACTGCTGTACAGACCAGAGAATCTGTTCACAGGGGAAGGAAGGAGTGAGAGGAGCTAAGCTGTCCTCTCACCAAAGCTGCGGGAGGAGCTGGAGAAGAAAGAGGCGGGGGGTCTGAAGTGGCCATGTGGCCAGCATGTGCACAGTAGGCCCGTTCTCCAGTGGTTTGTCCGGGGACTCAGCGGATGCATCAGCACCTCAGAGGGACCCTGAGTTTTTGCAACAGCAGAGTTATGGAGCCCCGTGTACCCCTAACAGCAGCTTGCTCACCACAGCTGACGGCCTGGATTGGAAAAACAAGAAGTGAGTCCCTCCGTCCCCTGGTTGCTAGTTCCCAAAGCTTCCAAGCCTGTGGCTGCGGAGTGACTCTAGGGCAGGTTGTCTCCCATCCCCTGAACCAGCTGTGGGTCCCCGGGCTGTGCTACCACAGTGCATACAATGAGGCCAGCAGGGGCTGCGGGAGGAAGGAGTCCCTTGTCCTCTCCCCAGCGTTAGCTCCTGCAGTAGCCACGTCACCCCAAAGTGGCAGAGGGGGCGGAGCAGGTGGGGCCTGTCTAGAAGCAGGTGTAGGGGACAGTGCAGGACTGTACCCAGGTGAAACCGTAACCGGTAGAGACAAGTCAGGCAACGCCAAGTTTTCAGGAGTGGGGGCGGAGGGCACACCTCTCATGCCTCGTGCCAGCCTGCACACACGCACTCTCCCTCACACACAGCCACGCACTCACGCACAGTCACACACTCATGCCCAGTCATACACACCCTCACACACAGTCACGCATCCATGCATACACTCTCACACACAACTGGACACTCACGCACTCATGCACGCATCCCACGGCAGTAGGTGCAGAGGCGCAGAAGCAGATGTGGTCAGCGCCGCGTTCTGACGGTGTTGGGAGCACACTGAACGCCGGGAGAGGGGTTGCTGAGGTTTGCTCCCGGCAACCGGGCTGTGCCGTTTGCACGCACAGCCTGGCACTTGCCATCCATGGAAGGAAGGCGTGCGGGGCAGGACGAGTTCCTGGCATCGGTCCTCTCCCCACCTCTCCTATGTCTCTCTTATAACCCCCCACACCCTCCTTCCCCAGGGGTCTTCCCCTTTTCCTTCGCAGCCTTTGCAGAGCCCCTTTCCAAGAACCACCCTCGGGTCCCTTAAATAGGGGTGGGGTGTGTCTGTGTGCCATCCCGTGGGGCTCAGGGACATCCACAAGTGTCACTTGCACATGCAGGCCTGCACTGAGCCCATGACAAGGAGAAGTAAGAGGTCTCCCGCCTCCATAGGCCTGATCTTTCAGGATTGATTTTGCAAGGGTCAGTCAGGTCTGGGTGTCATGGAATGAAATGTGGGCACAAGTGGAAGGAACTCTGGGGACACTGAAGGCAAGAAGAAAACTCAATTCACACTCCTGCGTGAGGAAGCCCTGGGAAGGAAATTTTCCGCCCCCTGGGCCAGCCAGGCTGTCTGGGGTGGCACGTGAGCCCAGCATGTGTGGGATTTATTTCTGTAGTGCATCAGGGAGCACCGTTGAACCCAGAGCCCAGAATAGCTAGTGGAATACTGTTCCAGTTACTTCGTTCTTCAGTCTGGGCAGCCTCTGGTTCAGGATCTTGACTCGGGGGTCCAGGTCAGAATAGTTGAGTGGTTCCCTGGGGAGTCCTTGTACCTTGTCAGAAGCCCCGACTGGCCCTGGGCCAAGGTATCCTGGGGCTGTCGGGCACTTCTCCCCATCCGGGGACAGCTGCCAGGTAAGGAGCAGGGGAGCACCCTGCTCGCTGCACTTAGCACTGAGGCTGAAAATACAAATGGCAACTGCACATGTAGAAACTGCTCAACTCCCATCATCATCAAACGGATCCAAACTAAAGCAGCTACAAGATGCGAGGAATTTTCTGAGCCATGAAATTAGAGCAGATGTTGAAATGAGATCCCAGAGCCGATGCACAACAGTGAGGCTGGCGTTGTCGCGCGGCTTGCGTGCCGTGGCTGGGAGAGTAATTTGGCAACACTGGGAGCCTTTCATTTCTTAGCTTTGATTCAGTAATTCCACTCATGGCAATGAAATGAAGACAGCAAAATCTTTTATCCAGTGATGTCCGTCGTAGCACTATTATAGCAGCAAAAAATGTAGAAACAACTTAAATGGCCAATGGGGACCAGTTTAGGAAGTTCTTAGGACACTACGTCGCATGTGTTATGAAGAGTTAATGATATAGAAAAAATGCTTATGATAAAATATTGTGGGGAAAAATACATATTACATATGTAATAGGTTCTTAATTCTGTTATATATTATGTGCAGAAGAAAGGAAAGACACCAAAATGCCAGTAATGGTTATCGATGAGTGGTTACGGCAGGGGTGGATCTGCTTTATACTTTTCTATAATTGGCATGTATTATTTTATTTTATAACTAGAAAAATGTTTGATTTTAAAAAAGGAACTTCAAGCTGAAATAAAAGGCCAGTAAAGAAAGGCCCCCCGCAAGACCTCGCTGTCCCTGGCTCAGCGCAGCGGGGACTGGGGGGTGTGCGAAAGGGCTCTCCTCTGGGCGGTGACTCAATTTCCCCTGCGGTTTCTCAGTCAGCTTAGCCCCAGCCTAAACCCCTCTGTGCCGAGAGAGCTTGGGGGCCCTGCGCCCCTCCCTCCAGGCCCCCCATCACCCGCACGTTGCCCACAGCCCTGGGTTCAGCCTCATCTGCTCTTGGCAGCACTGTGAGCTCCTGTATCGTGGGCTCAAGCTGGAACAAACCCAGCTGGGTACTAAGGAAAGGGAGCCGGAGGGATGAAGGCTGGGTGGCGCCAGGGCAAAGGCAGGCAGGCAACCTTGTCCCCTGGGCTCGTGCCGGCCAGCATGAGAAGCCAGCCCCCGGGAGCCTGAGTCACAGGAAGAGAAGGCGGGCTCTGCTCTGCCTTTCGGTGATGAATGCATCCCTAGCCCCTGCACGTGCCACAGAAGCTGGGCTGCTCGGGGTTGGAGGACTCCCTGGCCTCATCTCGCCCTTTCCTTACAGAATCCGAATGTCGGGCATCAAAGGACTGCAGGGAGTGGTGAGGAAGACGGTGAACGATGAACTGCAGGCCAATATCTGGGACCCACAGCACATGGACAAGATTGTCCCTTCGCTGCTTTTCAACCTGCAGCACGTGGAGGAGGCGGAGAGGTGAGCAGGTCGGGACAGAACCTGGCGGCAGGTGCAGCAGCCCTCCCAGGCTGCCCTCCCTGCCGCTTGGGGATCACGGCTGCCGCTTGCTCACGCCTGTCTGTGAGGCCGAGGGTCTTGGCTTTGGGGGTTTGTCCTGCAAGGAGCCCAGGGCCGGCTTTCTGCCCCCCGCTGTACCCCTTAAGGTCTGCATTCATGAGGGAAGGGCAGTAATGGTGCTGGGTTCCCCGGGGGAAGTGCGTGCTGGTAAGAACAAAGAACCAAGACTCGGGGTTATCTCTGTCCTCTGGAAGCAGCAGGCCCAGGCAGCTTTAAATGCCTTGCATGACGGGGCCCCCGTGATTGAGGCCCGACCCTCCCCAACCTTCCTTCCCTGCTCACTTCCTAATGGTGTTTCAGGCCCTAAAAACACAAGTTGCAGATATTGGGTTTTAATTTGGAAGCCCCCAGACCTGGAATTCAACTGGTCCCCACCCCTTGCTCTTCTGCTCTGTGAAATGGGACGGAGGGAAATGTCCACGCCCCTGTGCACCTTGGCTGGATTAGGCCCCTCACTTTCTGTCATTTGAGCCTGTGCGGCCAGTCAGGCAGGGAAAGCAAGCGTGCCCTCGGGTGGCTATTTCTGGAATCGCACCTCACTGACAAGATTGCCCTGTGGTCTCAGGGCAGCGAGCCCTGAGGATCCTTCTCTCCAGATCTGTGCCCACCTCCTGTGACTCAGGCACCACTGAGCCACACCTGGGCCACCCTCTGTGCCTTTCGCCTCCCGTTTCCCTCTCCCTTCTCCTCTTTCCCACTTTATTTTGCTTTCCGCTATCTTGCCCCCCTCTCTTCATACCACGCCTCTTTTTGTCCCCCTGAAGTCCCAGGAGCCTGGAGACACGTGGGCGGTGCCTCACCGGGCCCACGGCGCCCAGGGAATCAGTCTTTCTGACAGAGCCCTGTCCTTCAGGATTTCCAAGAAAACTTTATCCCTTCGCCCACAATCTTCCTCCGCCGCGGGCTCCTTTACCCTGCGTAGCTTCTGGCAGCCGTGCCATTGCCCCCGTGACCTGCATCAGGTCCCTGCTGGTCCTGCTGCCACTGTTTGCATGGCTGCAGCACAGAGACCCAGGCACGCGCAAAGCCCGCTCCTGCCTTGCTTGCCACCCGCCACCCACCAGGCTGTGTGTCCCCACAGCCGGTCCCCCTCGCCCCTCCAAGCGCCTGAGAAGGAGAAGGAGAACCCGGCAGAGCTGGCTGAGAGGTGCCTCCGGGAACTGCTGGGCCGGGCTGCCTTTGGCAACATCAAGAACGCCATCAAGCCTGTTCTCATGTGAGTCCCTCCCCACCCCCAAGTCGACAGTTTCAGGTCCCCGCCGGGGAGCAGGGGAGGAGGTGTTACGGTTGTGGGGTAGTGGCCAAGCTGGGTCCCTTCTCTGTGTCTGTGTTCCCTACACTGGGGCAACAAAAGCTACCACACAGTGGCCATATGCAGTTTTGGGGAGAGGAGTTGGTAGGAGGGCCCTCAAAGTTGAAAGAAGGTGCCCAGTTTACACCTCAATCCACAATGACAGAGCCCTGTTCCCTGACCTCCCCCATCTCCGGGGCTGGGACTGGCCTGGGGGCCCCTGCTTCCCTTCTCTTGCTTCCCTGGAGCTACATGAGGGCCGGGACCCTGGAGGTGCCCCTCTCCCACCGAGCTCTCTCTCCCCTAACATCCCTTTGCGTTTCATAGCCATCCCCCCATGTTTTCTCCCTCACAGCCATCTGGATAACCACTCTCTGTGGGAGCCCAAGGTGTTCGCCATCCGTTGCTTTAAAATCATCATGTATTCAATTCAGGTACGGTGGCTCCCCTGGTGCAGCTTGTCCTCTGGGAGCAGGGCAGAGCCCTCACAGACAAAGCCGGCTGTCCAGCCAGTCCCGCTTCCTCTTGCTGTGGAGGAGGCCAGTTTAGTCTTATTTCTACTGCATCGCAGACCAACATTTTGTAACATACAATTTTAAAGAATTCAAAGAACAAGTAAATGAGAGGCTCGTGCAGAGTACAGCCCACAGACCATGCTTGGCTGCCATGGCAGCGTCCAATTGCTTACTCAACACTTGCTCTCCATCACTGCACTTATCTCGGGATAAAAGGGCATCAGACCTTAAATTGTCACCAGACTATGGGCCATGCTTTGAGCAGCACTAGACTAAACCAGGTGGCCTCTTGTGGCCCTTACTAATAAGACATGGTGGGGGGAGGAAGATGATATTTTAAAATTGATTCTTGACCCATTTGGAGTAAAAGAGGCAGCAAAAATTGTGGAAATCCAAGTCTTTGCTGGGATTTGGCTTTGTTCTCTGTTGGACCAAGGCAGGAGGCGCCGGGAACAGGAATCAGGGTATCCATCCCACCTTTGCCCCGCCTGCCTGTGGGCCCCAGTCCGGGGCTGCCCTGGCTCAGAGGCCACGTGGGGGTTGCTGTTTGGGGACCAGCACGTCTTCCTCCCCCCAGCCGCAGCACTCCCACCTGGTTATCCAGCAGCTCCTGAGCCACCTGGATGCCAACAGCCGCAGTGCGGCCACCGTGCGGGCGGGCATCGTGGAGGTCCTATCGGAGGCCGCCGTCATCGCAGCCACTGGCTCCGTGGGTAAGGTGGCCCTGAAAGGAGCGGGGCTGGGAACCCCTCAAGGAGAAGGAACTGCCCTTGGCAGAGGCTGCCTCCCCTTCCAGAACAGGGCAAGGCACCTGAGGCAAGTGTCAGAGCCGGTTTTCCTGGGGAGGAGAGATCAGCGGGGGGAGGTGAGAACAGAGGAAGCCCTGGCCCCGTAAGTTCAGGGCAGGGAAAAGTGAACGAGAGAAGAAGGAAGCCCTGAAGGCTGGGTTTCCCACCGCGCTGCACTCAGGGCCCACGGTACTGGAGATGTTCAACACTCTGCTGAGGCAGCTGCGGCTCAGCATCGACTACGCCCTCACCGGGAGCTACGACGGGGCCGTCAGCCTGGGCACCAAGATCATCAAGGAGCACGAAGAGCGCATGTTCCAGGAGGCTGTCATCAAGACCATAGGTGCCAGTCCCAGGGCAGCGTCGGACCCGGGGAGGGGCGTGGCCTGGGAGGGGCGTGGCCCTGGGGGGCGTGGCCCGGAGATGGCCCCCACAAGACTTCAGTCCTGGGCGTTGCAAGATTGTCATCTGTTCGTGTTACTCACCAACAAGGGGGTGGGAGGGTGGGTATGGAGTCAGTCCGTGGTGTGTGCAGCTCACAGGCTGCCCCACGTCAGACCTGAATGACAGCCCAGAACAATCTTCATGGGATTCTCAGCCCGGGCTTCATACCACAGGCTGAGAGAGGCAAACTCTTCCACTTGGCCTGCCCGATGCCCCCAAGTTTGAGGGACTGGAGAGGTGGAGAGTGAGGAAAATGAATGGAAGGAAAGAGGAAAGGGAGGAAGCCATGGAGAAACATGTATGCACGTGGGCAAGGAAGAGAACTATAAAGCTGCCTCATGGGTAAGGGTCTCACTTCCAGAGCCTTCTAGCCCCAGCGCCAGCGCTGAGAAGCAGGCAGGGCAGGACTGGTCCCCAGTTCACAGATGAAGCTGCTGAGATTCTTGGAGGTGTGACTTGCTCGAGGGCACCCTGCAGAGCAGCCAGTGCCTGGGCTGCTGCTTGGTCCCAGGGTCCGGGCTCCCCACCCTGGAGACCCGTGCCTCAGGCTCAGGAATAACAAGCGGAGGAACCGGAGCCTGGACCAGTGCCCTGGAATTCCTTCTCCTCTGGGTGCTAACTGTGCCCCCAGAGAAGCAGCCCACACTCCCCACAGCAGTTGGCTCAGCCAAAAGGCTGAGATGAGAGACCCCGCCGGCAGCTGTGGCCCCGCCTGGGCCCACCCTCGCCACCGTCCTTTCTCCTCAGGCTCCTTTGCCAGCACGTTGCCCACGTACCAGCGCTCGGAGGTGATCCTCTTCATCATGAGCAAGGTCCCACTGCCCTCTCTGCACCACCCCATGGAGACAGGCAGGACAGGGTAAGGCCACCATGCCTTGCGCCCATGCCTTCTCTCCCGGCCTCGGGTCCACCCCAGCGACCCCTCCCCATGTTTGCCAGCTCTCGCCTTCCTGGGTCTGCCCTCACTTCTCTTCTTCTACTCTCGGGTCCCACAGCAGTTACTCAGTCTGTCACCTCCCCCCAGTAACTACCTCCCATCTTGGGGGGAGCCATTAATTCCCTGGTGTGCTTCCTGGCTCTGGGTGTCACTGTCCTGGGTAGCCCAACAAGATAAGCCTCATGGAGAATCTAACCACGAGGGAGAACCAGGCAGGCAAGTGTGGGGTCTCCACCCACATCACCATCCTGGTGAGCGTGTGTGTCTCCGGTCTACAGGGAGAACAGGAACCGGCTGACCCAGATCATGCTGCTGAAATCCCTCCTTCAGGTGAGTCCCTTCTGTCCCAGTCCCTGCTCTGCCTCTGCAGGAGGAAGCTCCTTCAAGGCCAAGAGGTGGCAACAACATACAGTTGCGCAGGTTGCACACTGCACAAATGTGTCTGACTGCAGGGATGAGGTGGGGCCTGGAATCCAGCTTGCGTTCACTCGCTAGCCTGGCTGGGCACACGCAAAGCGGGGCCATCCAGAGCGGGCAGGCTGGCAGTTTCTAATTCTCACAAAGGCTCCTTATCAGCTACGGAGAGCGGAGAGCGTTGTCACTTTGAGATGGAATCTGTTGATTCCTGCCCCTGTCGCCTCCAAGGGCCCGCCCAGATCCTCCCCAGACTTTCCCTTCCCCAGTGATTTATGCTCCTCTTTTTACACCTCTGCAGCCATCACTGGAGTCTAAATTTGTTGTTCTCAGATGTCATCCCTATGGCCAACTTGTTAAACTACAGTGATTCTGAGCCACCAGTCTGAGCGGAGTCCTGAATCTGTATCCGTGACAAGCTCCCCAGTTATTCTTAGGCACAGCCCTGGCCGAAACTCTGGACACCTGACAACTAGATTATTCTACTAGTTGCTTTTATCTCCATCTCTCCTCACCTGTAATAAATACAACCACAAGAATTTTCTAGAAATGCTGTTCCCCACATGTTGCTCCTTGTCAAAGAGCAAGTCTCAGTTTCCAGTTGACATACATCCAGATTTCATACAGGCACACACACCTTGGCAATATTGCGGGCTCGGTTCCAGAGCCCCTCAATAAAGGGAATATTGCAGCAAAGCAAGTCACATGAATTTTTTGGTTTCCTAGTTCATGTAAAAGTTATGTTTACACTATATATACTGTAGCCTGTTAAGTACACAATAGCATTATGTCTAAAACCCGATGTATATACCTTATTCAAAAAACACTTTATTGCTGTGACTCAGTTACTTGGGCATCTTCCCACAAAGCAGAAGGTCACCGGTTTGATTCCCAGTCAGGGTACATGGCTAGGTTTTGAGTTCAGTCCCTATTTGGGTCACATTCAAGAGGCAACCGATCGATGTTTCTCTTGCCCAAAGGTATTCTCACTCTTTCTTTTTCCTTCTCCTCTCAGATAAATAGATAGATAGATAGATAGATAAAACATGATTGACCAAAAATGTTAATCATTGTCCAAGCCTTCAGCAAGCTGCAATCTTTGTGCTGGCGGAGGGTCTTACCTTCAGTGTGTAAAGCCATGCAATACCTGTGAAGCACAGTAGACGGGAGCGCAATAAAACAAGGCGTGCCTGTCTTCCCAGACTGAAGTTGGGAGGCCTCCCATCCCCTGGCCCTCCCCAGGCCCCATCGCACCCCTGGCCGGCTCGGCTCCCTTCCCCGTGCGGCAGCCTGCCCAGCCCCGCCTCCCTCCCGTGTGCCCCGCCTCCCCTCTCCCAGCCCACGCCTCCCACGCCACTCCAGTGTCATGGGGGCTCTTCATGCAAACACTGCCCACGTCTGGTTACCTCCTCCACCCAGGAACTCCTGCAATTTCTTTGCTGAGTTTACCCTCATCAATTTGTACTCAGCATCTTATTAAGGGGACAGTTTGGGGTGCACTCAGATACACCCCCTTCAGTCAGCACTGATGTTTGCTGCTGATGGTGCCAGGATTTGCTAGGCCCCCAGGGCCTGCGGAATCATCGAAGGCATCCTTTTATAATATAGGGGCTAAACAATAAATATGTTTTGCTGCTTTTGACAGCTTCGACATCACATAGGATGGGTCTATGCCAACTGGCTTTAATCAGAAGAGCCCCTTGGTGGCCATGCCAGAAGAGATGTAACCGGATGTTGTGTGTGTTCTTGGTTGTTGCCATTTGCATGGGTTCTGATTCCTCAGCCCAGCTCTACCTTCTTCTATTGTCTCTCCATTTCTTTGTGACTCATAGCAAAGCACTGTATTCACGGTGACTCTTTATCAGTGGTGCCCCAGTGGCCTAGAACATAAGTTCAGAGGCTTCCTGGCTCCTGCTCCCGTGCAGTGCTCATCCCTGGCTTGCTTTTAACTGCTAATGTTCCTGCACACCCTCCCCATCCAACCACATGTCTACTGAGCTGAGCTGAGGAGGTTGCCTAGGTGGATGTCTGTGTGTTCAAAAAAGTTGCCCGAGGCGCTCGGGGCCGGGGGTGGGTCTGACCTGGGGACTCGGGACTGGAGGACCTCGCTGCGAGATGCCAGAGGGACAGATGCTTCAGACCCACCCTCTGTGGGCTGCTGAGAGGGCCAGCGTTCCTAAGCCCGGCCCTGCTGGGCTCCCTTGCAGGTGTCCACAGGTTTCCAGTGCAACAACATGATGTCAGCCCTGCCCAGCAACTTCCTGGACCGCCTTCTGTCCACCGCCCTCATGGATGATGCAGAGATCCGTCTCTTCGTTCTAGAGATTCTCATCAGTTTCATTGACCGTCATGGCAACCGCCACAAGTTCTCGTCCATCAGGTGAACTTCCCTGTGGCTGTGTGATGGGAGAGGACTCGCGGCAGGGCCACACATGCAGAGGGGAGGACAAGTCAGAGATTCCGTGAGACCCGCCAGAGGAGGGGTCACGGACCTGGACCTGGGCTCCTGTGAGGGGAGGAGCGACTGAAAGGGCGCCACAGCTGGGGGAGAAGGGGGATGGATTGGAGATTTGGGAGATGAAGAGCACGAACTAAAGGGAGTTTTCAGGTGAGGGTGAAGAGAATAATCTAGAACAATGTTTAAGAGAAAGGGACAGGAATTAGAGAAGCTGGGAGAAAGTAGAGAGCAGGCTAGGAACCAGGGCTGGAGGAGCACCGGGAGGCTTTGGGACAACTAATGACATCGGGATAAAGCCCGGTGACACCACACAAACTCTGACTGGCCTCACACAAGGGCTACGGTGGCCCCTTACGTCCCTTTCCAGTACCCTGAGTGACATCTCTGTCCTGAAGCTGAAAGTGGACAAGTGCTCCCGACAGGACACCGTCTTCATGAAGAAGGTTAGCAAATGTGATCTCAAGATGCAGAGTCCCGGGCGGGCCGGGCCCTGTGCACCCTGACCTTCCAGCCCCCAAGTCACTGCAGACCACTGCTCCCGAGCCGGCCTCCTCCCGCTTTGACTGTGCTCAGGCAGGATGAGCAGCCGCCACCTCTGGGGGTCAAGCCACCAGGGTCTTACGTATCACCGAGGCCAAATGAGGACCAGGGCCAGTGACTGTTCTGATCCTAAAACGATTTTGGTGGCAGCTTTTGTTGCGGGTTTGACTGGACCCAGCCTTCCCTGGTTGTGCGCTCCTGCACGTGTCTGCTTTAAAGGCGTCCTCACCCTGCAGGTGGAAGTGGGGTACATGCAGCTTTCCCACACCCCTGCTGATTGGTTTTTCCATTCTCCTTGACCCTCCTGCCCCTCCCTGCCCCTGCCACCTTGCCCGCCTCCCCATCTCCAGCACTCCCAGCAGCTCTACAGACACATCTACCTGAGCTGTAAGGAGGAAACGAACATACAGAAGCACTACGAGGCGCTCTACGGCCTGCTGGCGCTCATCAGCATCGAGCTGGCCAACGAGGAGGTGGTGGTAGACCTCATCCGCCTGGTGCTGGCTGTTCAGGTGTGGCTGCTGGGGCAGGACGTCGGGGCCGGGATCAGGGGCGAGGACCTGCTATGATGAAGCACTAATCAGAGTGCTGCGTAGCGACTGCTTAACACTTGTTTTGGCGCCCAGGAATTCCTGGGCCGTTCCTCCGCGAAGGCCGCAAACTGTGGCCTGTAGGTGAGCCGTGACGAATGCTTCATCCATGGCTTTAGCCCGTTCTCAGGCTCATGGACACCAAAGGAGGAGGGTCATTCAAAAATACACCTTAGCCCCTAGTATTTAAAGTTTCTTGAAGAGTCTGAATGGGACTCCAAGTGTTGCCAAGAGGGTGCTTGTAAGCCCCAAGTGACCCCAAAGCAAATCATTTGGTTTCCAAGCCTGGCTGTGCTTCTGCGTTGCCTCAAGCATTTATTAAAAAATACACATTCCCAGTTCTGCCCCTGAGCCTGGGGGCTGTAGTTCTGCAGCCTCTCTGTAGCTCTTCGGCAGGCAGTGTGGCACTACATAGGACTTTAGGCTTTCAGGGTCTGCCTGGGTGGAAGTCTGCTCTAGCCATTGCGGTATGTCCTTCAGACCTCAAAGGTCAGGCTCTCCCGGCCCTGAAGCTAGGCAGGCATTGTGTCCGGGCTTGTGGCAAGCCTGGAAATTCAGTGGCGGCGAGTCTTAGGCCACCCGCTTGGCGCTGCTAAAGCCTGCAAGGCCAGCCCAGCTGCTATCATTGTCTTCAGTCTAGAATTTGAGGTTTCTTTGTATCCAGTCCCCTGGTAACTCCCACAATTTCCTCAGTTTAACCCATGAACCCGGTTTAGCAAGCCGATCTAGTCCTCCAAGCGCCATCCAAGGTCTGCAGCGGAGGAAACAGCCTCCTAGAGGTGGGCTTGGTGAGGAGGGTTTGGACAAAGTCACTAAAGCCGGAACTGTCACATGGAAGGTTGAGGTCATCGCCTCTCTTGGATTGATCTAGGGACCACTCGCTTCAGCTTTCATGAGGGTGGCTTCTGACTTCCAAGAAATTATGGCACAGAGGCTGAAAAAGGCTTAGCCTAGAGCAGTGGGCCACCTCCTCGCGACTGGGGAGAGGGCAGGTGGAGGATGGAGCCCTGTGTAGTCGGCCAGTTAAATGCTGCAGAGGCCCCTCTGTGTTGCCACAGGACCTGGCCCAGGTCAATGAAGAGAACTTGCCCGTGTACAACCGCTGTGCCCTGTACGCGCTGGGCGCGGCCTACCTGAACCTCATCAGCCAGCTCACGACCGTGCCTGCCTTCTGCCAGCACATCCACGAGGTGGGTTATTGAGGGTTTTTTCCACATTTCCTGCATCTGTCTCCTTTTCTTTTTCTCTTCCGTTGCTGAAGTTTTAAAAATCTCAGCTGCCATGTCATTTTGCCCCTACATATATCAGTATTTAAATCTAAAAAAATGGACATCTTCCCACATGATTGCCCATGCTATTAACATACTTAATTAAAGGATCGGTAATACCTTAGTATTGCCCGAGACTGAGTCTATAGTCAAATGTTCTCATTTGTCACAAGACATTTTAGAACGTACTGAAGGTGGAATGATATCACGTTTAGGATTAACTTGAAAATGCACTAGCAAAACAAAACAAAACAAAACAGGAAACCTCAGGTCTCCGCTGGCCTGAGCTGGAGGGTGTGGGGAACGGTGCTGCATCCACGGGCCAGAGACCACCGAGCTCCCCGCCTCCAGGCTCATGCGGGGGTGCGGGAGAGGCAATGCCCAGACATCCTCTCCATTAAAAACACTAGCATCATCGTTTACTCACCTCCCCCATATACTTGCCTGCCAACTATCCTCCCACTTCTCACCATCTTAATAGCTTTCACCTTCCTTGTCAAACATTCGCAAAGGACACTGAGGGAAACTCAACATGTCCCTGCGCATCAGGGTGTGTTTGCAACGCTTCAGGGCTTGAGAAATGGTGTAACCCATGCTCCATATTTCAGGTTTAAGGAGAAAACAGGAATAGGTCCCAGAAGCAAGAAAGAGCAGTCTCTTGGGAGCTAAGTCCCCTGTGTTCAGAGGACACTTAATGCATATGTGTCACTGGGGATGGCTTGCACAGGCCACCTGGGCTTCTCAGGCTGCTCGGGGGGTCACTGTCACTCTGAGTTTCTCCCTCAGAAGCCCAGCTGTAGGGTGCGCTGCCAGTGATTGTGGAGGAGGAAAGGCTGGGGATGCGGGAGCCCTTTCCTTCGTCTGTTCTGCGCTCCCTCCCGCTGCTGAGCCCAGCACTTACCGCGTGATTCCTCCCGAACTCCAGGTGATAGAGACCAGGAAGAAAGAGGCTCCGTACATGCTCCCTGAGGACGTGTTTGTGGAGAGGCCCAGGTGAGGAGCGCACCTGGGACCAGGTCCCAGACGCTCACAGCAGCTGAGTAGGAAGGCGGGCGGTCTACGGCAGGGGCTCAGGCCTCCGTGGGTCTAGGGCCGAATGTGGACGCTGCCTGCAGCCTGTAGGTCCTGGGTCAAGTTCAGCCCTCATTATGTGAGTGTAATGCACACCCTGAGCCGTCTTGATGTGTTGGGCCATACAGGGTGCGTGATGCCACCTCTGAGAGCTTTGGCCAAGCCCATGGGGTAGCAATCCTGGAGCCGCTGTTCTAGATGAGACACTGCCACCAATCCAAGTGGCATTGCCAGACTGGAGTCCATGGGCCAGTGTCGCTTCAGCATCAGAGGAACTCAAGGAAAAGATATTCTAAAAAAATTACAACATCCAACAACAGGGGACGGCTTTATCAATTATGACCCATTCACACAACAAATAACTAGTGGCCCACTTACAGTGGTTTGGAAGAACAGCTGACGGGAAATACTCAGTATAGAATAGGTACAGGGACTAGATCAGGGGACAGGGCGGTGGGGCGGGGCGCCGGGTGTGCGTGCACCTGCGCAGGAGCGTATGTGCCCGGAGGATTCCGCGCCCTGAAGGTTCTCTCTGAAAAGTGGGGCTCTGGGTGATTTTTTTTCCATTTGCCTCCCTGTCATTTTGTATAAAGAACGTTATCTTTATAATAAGGAAAGCCAGCAGGAAGTCATGCTAGCTACGCACGGCTCTCACCTGCCTCTCCCCTCCGCTGTCTCTAGGCTGTCTCAGAACCTGGATGGAGTGGTGATCGAGTTCCTCTTCCGCCAGAGCAAGATCAGTGAAGTCCTCGGGGGCAGCGGCTACAACGCAGACAGGCTCTGCCTGCCCTACATCCCTCAGCTGACAGGTATGAGCTCTGCTCAGGGGCTTCCAAGCCTGCCTCTGGCTTTTCGTGGCCCATAAAGGCCTGAATGTAAGGGACTTAAGTCGCTTTCTAAGACATCGCGAGTGTCCCACAAGAGCAGAAAGACAGAGTGAAGGTCTGCGGTGAGATCCTCTGGATCCGCCCCCCCGCATTTCTCCTCCTCCGTGGGGGGGTCCTAGCAGTGACTGGCCCACAAGCTAGCCTGGCTTGTGGACGGGAGAGGCCCCGTGGTGTCGCACGTGGGCTGCAGGCCCAGCTCTCTGTAACTGACTTCCTGGAAAATCTTAGACAAGGCTCTTGGCATCTGAGTCTCAGTCTCCTTGACTGTAAATTAGGGATATTAACAGCACTTGCCTGAGAGGGTTGGTGGGAAAGTTACATGGGATGATGAAGGCAAATGCAGGTAGTAAATGCTACACAAATGACAGCCCCTGGGGCTATGAGCAGGTGACGCTTACGCAGGGTGATACATGCTTTGTGGTCAGAAGCAGCTTCTTTGTGCTCACCAGTGGTTTCAAAATCCTAGCCCCAAGGAGCAGACTCACCACCCTAACGTGGGCAGAGGGGGCCGCGGCCTCCGTAAAGTCCACCTGCAGCCTGCATGTGCGCTGAGCCCTCGGAGGACCGGGGACCTGGGAGCTGGTACTGGGGGCGTGATCCGGGCTCGCCCCCCGAGGGCGGGAGCTCGATCTTCTGGCTTCCCCTTTCCCAGATGAGGATCGCTTGTCCAAGAGGAAGAGCATCGGAGAAACCATTTCCCTGCAGGTGGAGGTGGAATCTAGGAATAGCCCCGAGAAGGAGGAGGTGAGCATCTCCTTCTCAATGCTCTGTCCCGGTGAAGCCCAGCACCCTGGGGGCGGGGCCCGCCCCGCCTCCTGCGCAGTCGAGCCCTCCGTGCTCCAAGCCCCGCACCTGGACAACTCCTGTAAGGTTGCACAGGAATTTCTCGAGGAAGTCCCGTTTCCTTACTGCCGTCGTATATATCATAGATGTTTCCATCTGGAAAAAATTATTTGTGTCCACCTTCCTCCCCGCCACACTGCCATGAGGATGCACGTGTGCACCACGCCCCGATCAGGGGCTGGAACTGCGTCGTTGGCCAGGAGCCCCACCTCTGCACTGCCTGCCCTCCTCCCCCGCCCTCCGCCAAGGGAGCCACTAGCCTGATTTATGTCACTTCTTGAACTTTTTGTCAATGAAGCCATTCACTCCTGTGTCTGTTTCTTTCACTTAATATTGTATTTAAGTGATAGGATATGAATAAATCATGGGTCTTGCCTCCGGGAGCTCATAGTCCTGTGGGAATTCCTGGAACTTAGTCCAAATCCTTCCCTATTCTCAGCATGACTTAGGGGCACACATCCGCGCAGCAGCTCGTGTGGGTTTCATCGTTTCCCACCTCCTTTTATGGCTCCCCAGACGACTGAGACCCTGTGGCCCAGATCCTCGGTCCAACCTCAGCATTTCTTACCTTTATTTAATACTCAAATCACATCATGGATAATTTAATATCCTAAGTCCCCAAAAATGTTATTCAGTTCTTGAAATCTACCTTTGATTTCCAATACCTCTCATTTCCAATATTTTTTGTTAGGTCTCTGAAGGCTTTTTTGAATCACCGTATTTTCTCCCCACCAGGCTTGATGGGACTAGCCAGGGGGAGGGGGCAGTGCATTCTTTCAGGTGAGACTCTGAGGAGAAATTAGCCTCCCCGCCCCCATCGCACCACTCTTGGGGAGCTTCTGGAGCCCCTGATGAGAAGGTGGGTGTCCTGAGGGAGTGTCTGCCCATGGGGACATCCTTCTGAGAAGCGACAGGGCTGCCAGCTAACTGAGGAAGCCAGGGCTGCCTCCTCCCCACCCTCCCCTGCCCCACCTTTCTGAATATTTGTCCCCTCTCCCTCAGCGGGTGCCTGCAGAGGAGATCACCTATGAGACGCTGAAGAAGGCCATTGGTAAGTGGGAGGCCCCCAGGGACTCCAGGTGGAGGGCAGGGCAGGGCAGGCAGAGCTGGGTCCTGGTGGCGAGCGGGTGTGTGTGGCCCCGTCCGCTGCCCACGGAGGGTGATTCAGCACAGACGTGAGGATAGAGGCTGGTGGCGTCCTCCATGGGAACTCATCCCAACCACCAAAGCCGCAGTGAACAGGCCCGCCTGCCTGCTGGGGATCAGCAGTGCTGCCCTGTGTGTCTTGATCAGGTGGCCTTCTTATTCCTGACAGTGGCCTTTAAAAGTAACGCCCTGAGGCTTACAGCCGCACAGGTAACAAGCAATTGTGTACAAATACTTTGACTAGTTTTTGATAGAATTTGATACAAAAGAACAAGTTGACCAATGAGGGATATTAAGAACAAATCATATTAATATTTATTTAATAATGGCAATAGATTTTAAAATGCAGTATTACATCTTCTGTCTGAATTATTGTTCAATGGTATTCCAAATGAGAGAACTTTATTGAATGCTGATGACAAATTATGTCTTCAAATGCCAGACTTTTCTTATTTTTGTTGTCATTAATGGTACTCTTTCTAAACGTAACATACCTTCTGAAATGGAAAATGATGGACACAGTTGAGACCCCTCCCCTTTTTTCCTAACTCATTTTGAATCCCAAGAGGAATATGTAGAACCCTAAATAGCCTCACACCACTCGGCGATAGAGGTTCTGCATTGGCTTTTATGGTCTCTGTGGCCTTTCCACGGCTGCTGTCCCTTTTCAAATCCCCCCCACCGCCCCAAGTCCTTCCTGCTCCGGAAACTTCCCGTTAAAAGTCCTAGTGGCGGTGCAGCCCCAGAGGACTTTAAAAGCCCAGCTTAAGGGTCTGCTCAGCTGGTTCCCAAACCCTTACCAGAGGAAGGAGGCTGACCCTCAGCAGAATCAGGAAAAGGTCCAGCCCCCCTGGGGCGGAGCCATGGCACCAGGCCCTCCCTGCCCATTTGCAGAGGGCAGAGCCTGGCTTCGGTCCCAGACAGCGTCCCCTGGAGGGGTCCCTCCAGCTCCCTGTCTTCTCCAGCCCCTGCCCCGCATCGGGGACGGGACCGGAGGCTGACCTAACTCTCTGCTGCAGTGGACAGCGTAGCTGTCGAGGAGCAGGAGCGTGAGCGGCGGCGGCAGGTGGTGGAGAAGTTCCAGAAGGCGCCCTTTGAGGAGATAGCAGCCCACTGCGGGGCCAGGGTAAGTGAGGCCCAGCAAGGGCGAGTCCCCGGGGACCGTGCAGACACTGGAGTTGGGCCCCGGCCAGGACTGGGTTCCTGGAAGACCTTGGCACTTTTGTCATCCAGGGATTAGGGCCTAGATGCCTCAGTGCCCTGGCCCTCCATTGTTTCCCCGGGAACCAAAAGGTGTGGCTGTTAGTCATACAGGCCCTCAGACCTCACTTATGCTTTTCAAACAAGGAAGAAATCCTGACCTCGGGACCTCCTGTATCAAACAGGTTATAACAGCTATTATCACAATAGCAAGTATGTAGACAGGACCTACTGTGCGCCGGAACATCTTGCATTTATTAGCGTATTTCATTCTCATGACTGCTCTACAGGCTGGTGCCGTGACGCTGGCCACATGACAGAAAAACACAATTGTTTCTCAAAATTGATTTTATATGCTAGGATTTGTTAGTCACAGTGCTCATCTTAGTAAGAATGGATTATAATTATAAACAGCCAAAATTTACAAATAACTCATACGTTATACTTTTTTCTCTCCACAAAAATACATGTAATAGTCTTTTATATATTTTCCAATATACATACCTATATATTTCTAATATATAATTATATATAAATACACGTAAGTATAACATAGGTTTGGGGGGCCCATATTACGCTAACCTCTTGTCCCGCCTTGAGAGGCGCGTGCTGCTCACTTCAGGAACGCGGAGCTGAGGCCCAGTTACTGAACATGCGCACCGCTCACTCTCTCTGCGCGTGCACTCAGTTGGAGCCGCACGGGACCAGAGCAAGCCTGTTCCCTAACCCACCGATTTTGCACAGCCGCTTCTTTGAGGTTGAGGAAAGAGCTGGGAACAGCTCTGAGCCTCCTGATTCCAGGCCCTGCAGTCCCCTCCGTCCCAGCTGGAGGAGCTAAGGGTCCTTCAGGAGCTGCTTCCCGAAGCCCTCCTGGTGTTCCTGGCCCCTGTGTTGTCCCCGGCAGGCCTTGGCTGGGTAGCTCTGCCTGACCCGGCCCCACAGCCAAGGTCCCCAGACAAGGCTGGGAACGCTCCCGCCCCGAGGGTGCACTGCCCGAGGCTGCCGTGTGCGCGCCCTGGCCCGCGGGGCCGCGGCAGCCGGTGGAGGTGCGGCGCCCTGGCTCACTCGGCCTCTGTTCGTGTCTAGGCATCACTGCTGCAGAGCAAGCTCAATCAGATCTTTGAAATCACCATCCGGTAAGTGGCAGCCCTGGTCGGGGACCCCTCCCTCTGTGGTCCAGCGTGGGGCGCCCCTCCCGAGTCTTCCTCTGGCACCTGCCTTCAGTCCTCCCTCTCTCCAGCCTCTGTCCCTAGGGCTGCAACCAGCCACCAACTCTCCCCAGAAAAGGAAGTCGAGACTAGAGAGGAAAAGAGACAGCTCAGTGAACCCTGGAAAAGAGCCAGGGGTCCCTGTTTCCCAGGCCAAGTCTTGACTTTCTAATGCAACAGTGTCACTGTAGAGCCTGCCATGAAGCTGTAGGTTCTAGGACAACTGGAAACCCATGGAGCAACAAAGGCTCTGGTCCCTGTTTAAAGACAAACACAAATGAGCTGCTGTATTAGGTGGCACAGCGGGGTGGGGGGTGGTTGGTGGGGGGGGGCGAGGAGACCGTCCTGAGCCCTCCTTCTCCGGCGTTCCTGCCCCAGGCCCCCGCCCAGCCCGTCAGGGACCATCACCGCTGCCTACGGCCAGCCTCAGAACCACTCCATCCCCGTCTACGAGATGAAGTTTCCGGATCTGTGTGTGTACTGAAGTCCAAGATGTGGAGCTCCTCCAAGCGGTGGGGCCCGAGAGGGGACTCACCCTCACCCCCACCCCCACTGTGTGCACATCTCACTGGGATCTCACAAAAGGTCACCTTGGGGGGCAGCACCTTCCCAGCTAAGCAAGGTGGAGCCCAGGCCCCCCAGCTTCCCCCTTGTCTTCCCCAGGGGGTCGGCCACCCACCCCTCTAGGGCCAATAAGCCTCTCACCTTTCGTCTCCTCCTTTGTGTCAAGGGGCCAACAATTGTGGGGCGTCTGAGGTCCTGAGGGGCTCCCATGTGGTGTAACAAGTGAAAGGCTTTCATGGTGTGAGGATGGGAAGGGCACAGCTGCCTCCCCCGGACGGAACTACATGGAGACGCAGTGGTCCGGGGAAGCCCTGCTGTGGGAGCTGGAAGACGGGGTGACTGTCTCCCCCAGAGCACCCCCTCCCTCTGGTACTGAGGCCCTCAAGTCCCCAGGATCTCTCCTGCCCTCTGGCTCGCCCTGCCAGCTGTCTTTTCGTGACTCTGTGTGTTACTAATTAATGTTGAGCCCTTGTAGCAGGAGCGGGGCAGACGTCGCAGGGGGTGGGGGGTCAGCAAAGGAGGAAATGAAGGGCGGCCAGCCACTGGTGAGGGGGCTCTCCCCAGGCCGGGCCTGCCTCCTCCCACCCCGCCCCGCCAGAGCGGAGCGGCCGGCAGCAGCGGGCAGACCCCTCTGCAGGGTCTCACCACCTTCCTGGCTCAGAGGGAGATCGCTTGGCCCTCCCACGGCTCTCTCCCTTCTGGGTGTTTCTCTGAGTTGAGCTCTCTCTCTTTGTTACTTTTCTTCCCGGGGAGCCCCCCACTCCCACCCCATGCTTCTATAGCCTCTGGGTTGAGGGAGGGCAGTTCCAGCTAATCTGGTTCCAAATGACTCAAAAGAGGAAGCACAGCAGGGCCCAGGCTGGCCCACGTATCACCGCCTGTGGGCACGGCTCCCTGCCAGCTGGGGTGGGGGGTGGGGGGCAGTGCTGGGCAGGGATAGCGGTGGGGGAACCAGCACTTAGGGACTCTGGGGCATCAGAAGTCAACCTTTTGGATGTTTCCTTTGAGGAAGAAGAATCCAGCACCTGATACTGGAATGGTTTTCTTTTTTCTTTTTTACTCTTTGGACACAGTCTGGGCCTGAGCTCCAGCTGGCAAAGCTTCCGGCCTGGGGTGGGCGTTGGAGATGCCTTTGGATTTTCCGTCTCTCCTGAGTCCGGTCGGCCTGTCTGCGTGCAGGGGAAGCAGGAGGCTGTGCCCTCCCGGGGCCTTCCCGTCTCCATCCCCGGGGCTCCCCCTGTAATGGCGCCCTGTGGCCCCAAGTAGTTCTCATCCAGTGAGGCCATGAGGCCCCATTCACAGTGAGGTGTGACTAGCCAAGTGATTCTTCCCTGGTTAATTTGTTTTTTAGAGAGAGGGAGAGTGAATAGATTTCTCAACCCAAAGGAACCCCGTTAGGGTGCAGTTTTAGGCAGTGTGAGGCGGGGTCAGAAGCAAGCTGCCCCTGCTAAGGGGGCAGCAGGCCTTTCAGGACGTGCTGGGGCACACCCCTGCGCGGCACCCCCGCGTGACACCCCTGCGTGGTCTGCACAGGTGCCCAGTGAGGGCCTGATGTTCCCGACAGATGGGTGTATTTTCTCAAATAGGGAGAAACCTAACATACGCCTTTGCCATTACATGAGCAGTCATCTCTGGGGCAGCGGGCTTCCTGGCCCTTGTTCCTTGAGTTTTCCCCCTTGGGCGCTGCCTCTGCGCTCTGGGCCTGCAGCTTCCGGACACCGGCATGATTTCCAGGCCTGAGAGGGCCCAGCTCCCGCTCCCCTTGTGGCTGTTAGCTAGTGCTCAGCCTAACTTTACACGCATGAACTGAGATTTCTCCTTACTTCAATATCTCCCTATTAAGAAACCACATTTCAAATAACTTGAAACAAATTTGAAGGCAAAACACCTTGCAAAGAAACTTCACAGGAAACCTAAATCTTGAGCCACCCACATATCTTTCCCCACAGGATCTTCCCAGCTGTGTCCCCTGCTCGGCTCTGCTGAGAACCCCTGTTTCTTTCTTGTGCCTCCTTGACTTGAGGGTCCACTCCTGTGGCCACACCACCCTGAGCACTGCCCTGGGGACCCTGGCTCTGGGATGTGAGTAGCGTGGCCCTGGAGCCTCGTTCTAGAGCCAGCGTAGGACCAGGGGCCTGCAGGTCCTCTCAGGAGTCAGTCCCTCGTCCCCACCCTGGGAACAGAGTGAAGAAAAGGGTGCATTCTTCATACACTCAGCTTCTCTCTCCTCTTCTCTGTCCAAAGCAGCTTTTTCTTTCCATCACAGCTGCCTAACCAAGAGGTGCTTCTTTGGGAGAACCGGCCGGTTTTTTTTGTTGTTGTTGTTTTGTTTTGTTTTGTTTTTGAGTGTCCTCTTCCCAGTTTCGATTTAAACCCACACTCGGTAGAATGCCAGGCTGCCTGCCAACGAGAGGTAGAACCTGGGTCCCGGCCAAGCATGCCTCAGAATCAGAAAGTGTCAGGTGAGTGTTAACCCACACAGACAATTAAATGCTAAACTAAGCAGCCTCCTTTCCCCCACCCCTTCACCCCTCCACAAGCCCTGGGGAAGGACGCAAAGCAGTTTGGTGGGTGCCCGGGGCCCTCAGGCCCTCGGCCTAGCGTCTGTCAGTGCCTCCTCCCTTCCCAGCCCCGCAGCATCGGACAGCGCTGTGTCTTTGCTGGCCCTTTCTGCCGCCCTTCTCTGTTGTGATCTTGAGCCAGCAAGCCCATCCAGACCAGCTGCTCCGCAAAGCCGCTGAGGACTCTTGCTTCCCGGGCAAGGGGTCGGCTGGGTCAGCACTCTGCTGACGGAACTTAACAGGCATGAAAGTAGCTGAGATTAGGAAGTTCTGTTAATTTGGTTGAGTCCTGTCTGTGCATAAGAAGCAGGTCAGCAGAAAGCACCCGCATTCTGCAGGCTCCTCCTGTTTTCCCTGCAGTGGGGTCCCCAGTGCCCTGTGCCTGTTCCTATTTTCCTCTCTCTGAAAAGTAGAAATAAGTGATTTCTTGACTCCTAAATGCCTCCTCTCCAGAGGAGGAACCCGAGCAGGGCAGAAGAAGAACTAGAAAAGTCCTCTGATACTCTCCGCTGCCCAGCCCTCCGCTGGTATAAATGAGCAGCGCGAAGGTGGGGCTGGGACTGACTGAGTGCTGGAAGAAGCGTGAGGGTCACGTACGTGCTGCCCTTTGCCCCGGATGTTCCGGGCCCCAGAGAACGTTTCAACTGGCTTAAGAATTAGAACAGCCTTGGAGTACCTTTAAATGACACAAAGGCCAGAATTCTGGGCTTCTCTGGAGGCCTCTGGGTCACGATACCTTCCAGCTGCTATTTCATGATCCCCAGTCCTTCTGACCTGGATAAAGAGAGTGTCATTGAGAAGCGAGGCTATTTCTCCCCACCCCTCCTCATGACCATGGACTGGCACCTGGCCAGTTGGGGGGCCTGTGGGAAAGAACTAGACCAGAGCTGTTAGGCTGAGCATGAAGTGTGAAGAGGGACAAGGAGGTCGGCTCACTTGGGCAGGCCGCGCCCGCTCCCCCGACCCATAGACCTGGCAGGCAGCTGTACTGAAACAAAACATCCTCCTTATGCCTGGGAGACAGTTTAGGACAGTGTGTTGCTTCTTCCCCCTATTAACCCTAGAAATCTTCTGGTCCAAGTGGCCCCTTATCCCAAACCTGGCTACGTTTGCAGACGGGAAGGATGGGCATAGGCCTTGCCAGCTGGGGACGTGGGAAGAAGACACAGGGGCTGCGGCTGGGGATCTGCGGCCTGTTGGGGTCAGAAGGCAGTTTCCTGTGCCCTCTTTTTGCACCAGCCGGGATGACCAGCACTTTTCTCCCGGAGACCTTAGGGCCTCATCATCTCCCCCTTTTGAGCTCTTCTTCCCTGACTGACTGTTGACTCTGGCCTGTGGAGTGCGGAGCTGTGACTCCACAGATGCTGCAGCTCATACGTGGTATCATGTCCGTGTCCATTCAGACCTTCAGAGCCTGGCTGAGAGTGTGTGCCCGCGTGCGTGCACATGTGTGTAGTTCCTAGTTGACGATGTATGTATATAATAGCTGACATATTTATATGGGAGTGCAGAATTAGTGCCTGTAGCAGTTTTCTGTGTTTTAAACTCATTGAGTCCAATTAGTTTTAAGGAAAGGGAAAGAAAAGTGTGTGGCGGGGGCGGGGGGTGGGGAGTGTAGGAAGAAGGGCTCTTATAGCAAGATCATTCTGTAGAACTATTAGTCGTGGTTTCCCAATGAGCCTTTATGATGCCCTTTTCAAATAAATGTTAATGTTGTCGCCACATGGTTGTCTATTTGATTTCTTTAAAGTAAATGGTTTTTTGAGATGCCAACAGGATCTGAAAATACCAACATTAACCACTGACATTTAGCCACCCCCACCTGCCATTACTTTACTTGCCTCAAAAGGAAGGAGGGCAGGAGAAAGGATGCTCCCAGATGTCAACATGAGGCCAGGATTCCCAGCATGGGAGCATCCTCCAAGGGACGGTGTGGGCCGTTCCTTCATTATAGTGGGGGAGACTTTATCTTAGGAATCTGGTGTTCCAATTCCTCTTACATCAGGGCATTCCCGTTTTCTTTCATTATGAACTCCCGGAGCATCAAAATAATATGTGTAAGTCCCATACACAAATGTTTCCCAGCCACTTTGATCATACTGGCCACTGGTGTGTCTGATGCAGCTGACATGTATGTGTACTTCTGTGTGTGTGTGTGTGCATGCGTGCGTGCGTGTGTGTAAGTATCTGTGAGTCTCCTGTGAACTGGACATGTGCGTGGCTGCAAACCTACGGCCCCAGCATTGTGAAAACATCATGGGGACATAGAAAAGAAACCTGGCCAGTGGCCTCTTCCCTAATGGCGCACAGGTTTCCCTGAGGCGCGCATAATACACACACATAGCAAGGAAGCCGCCAACGGAGCCAGGCTGCAAGCCCTCCCCTGCGGAGGGGCTGGCTGCAGAAACACTGAAAATGAACAGGTGTGGCTGGAACAGATCACAGCTTTCCCAGTGGACGTGGACTTGAGCCTGGGCTCATGCTGACAAGGGGGTAACATTCAAAGCTGTGGGGAAAGTGGGGAATTCCCGGCAGAGGGTGAAGGAGGATGGGGGAAGAGAGAGCAGGTCAGCAGATGGGAACCTGAGAACGGGGTTCAGTAAGGAGTGCGAACCTCACTGACAGGGGCCTGGCATCCCATGCCCTCTAGTTTGGAACTGATGGAAAATTGGGGTGGGATAACTTTTTAACCCCTTGAGCCAGGGAATGTGGGGAAAGCAAGATTTTGTATACATGACTATGCAGGATTTGTATCGGATGGGTTGGGAGGAGAGGAGCTGGAGGCAAGGAGAGCAGCTGGTCAGGAAGCTGTCGTAGCAGCGGAGGCCTGAGACAGGAGCACTGAGAAGGGTGAGAGGGCTTAGGCTGGGCAGCGTCAGGGGAAGAGAATGTGGGCATAGCCTGGGAGGAGGAAGCGGCCCCCAAGGCTTGAGCCTGTGGGACTGGAAGTATCCGTGCACAGTGCGTTGTATTTGTACAGGTGTGTCCCCATGGATGCGTGTCTATGTGGGTGAGACCACATGTTTGAGAATGTATTGGGGAGGGAAGTCAAATACAAACTAATTCGAATCATCAGCACTCACACTTACGCTTCTCACTGCCAAGAGGATAATCCAATCCGTTTTAATCCGCACAAGAGCCCTCATACTAGGAAAGGAGAAAATGAATTAAATCTTGGAGAAGGCCAGAGACTTGCCTAAGGTCACAGTGATAGCTGGATGCAGGGGACGTTACCATAGCCTCCCCCCTTACGGCCCGAGAGCCCTTCCAGCTGCTGTTGAGCTTCATCCCTGCCAGGCTGACTTGGACAGGTGCCAGGGTCACTTTTGTAGCAACCCTGCCTTTTGATGCATCTTCTGGTTGAGCAGTCTTTTCCCACCCCACGGAGGGTGGCAAATGTAGCCACCCTGAGCCATTACCTAAACTATTTGGCCCCTTGAAGACCCATTTATTGAAGGGATAGGGAAGTACATTTCCTTTCCATTCCCACCCTGTCTCGTGAAATATACTGACGCCTGGTCACATGGAAACCGTTATGTCTCTCCTCCACTATATGCTGCTCTTCGATGGATACGCATTTTTATTTTATTCATCCAGTCAACATTCAAAGTCAGAGGCAGATGTGCATCTTGAAAGGTTTTATTTCCTAACTACATACAGCTTTAACCAGCTGAACATAGGCCGCTCCCACAGCCCGGCCAGTAGCGGGAGGTGGGCAGGCAGGGCAGAAGAGGGGGCTTTGGGGTCGACTTCCCAGGGCGAGAAGCCCCTTGTCCCGCTCCGCCCTCACTGGCCCTTCTTGTGGGCGTTCTTGATGATGGCGTTTCTGAACAGCGTCACCAGGGGCGTCTGGCTCTTCTCGGAGGTCATGAAGCCGCCGTAGCGCTTGCCCTTGGGCGGGCTGCCCCAGCGGAAGTGCTCCATCTTATAGGGCCCCCCGTCCTCCTTCACCGCCGCCGCCTCGGCCCCGGGCTCCGTCCCCAGGCCGTACTCCGGGCCGGCCCGGGCCGCCGCGCCCTCGGCCGGGCGCTCGGGGCTCAGCGCCGGCTCGCGCCGCGGCCCCGCCTGCTCCCTCTTGAACTCGAGGGGGAAGGCCTCGGCCGACTCGTCGTCGGCGCCATTGGGATACACCTTCACCGGGCGCCGCTTCTTGCCCACCGGCTTGCCCCAGCGGAAGTGCTCCATGGAGTAGGAGCGCTTGCCCTCGCGCGGGCCCGCCTCGGCGCCATCGCCCGCCGCCACCACCTCCTCCTCCCGCTTCTGGCCCGCGCCTGACCAGCTACTGCCATTCGGGCGGCCGAAGCGGTCCCAGCGGAAGTGGCCCATGACGTACTTCCGGGGGTTCTCGGTCAGGGGCTGCTCCTCGCCGTCGCGGGGGAACGCGGGCGTCTCCGCCGAGAGGTCGGGCTGGCAGGCCCGGATGCAGGCCTGCTAGAGAGCAGAGCGCGTGAGCGCACCCCGCCGCGCCGCCCCGCACCCGCGCTCTGCCGGGGCTCCGCTCGCCAAGCTCCGACCTCCGCACGCAACGGCCGCCCTGCGGGAGACGCCTGCCCACCTGTCCTCTGCCCACCCACGGACAAATGAGATGGAGTTTGGACACCTGCTCTTTTGTCTGCTGTCCGCATTAGAACTTGTGCCCGGCAACTACAACACGCACCCCGCTCCCTCGGGGGTGTACTGGTCCCATTGCTTTTGTGAGCAGGGTCAACACCTTACTGTTATATGCCTCATATATAGGCATTGGTCAATCAATGGCAGGTGGGGGGCAGTTGTTGACACTCAGTAAATATTGAATAAATAAATATGGTTCAATACGAGTCTGGGTGGAGAATAGGGCTGAAATTGGGAGAATATCCCCAGGTGGAAAAAGTGGAAATCTGACTTCTACTGCCTGTATGTTCAATAACACCTCAAACTTACCCCAGTGATCAGCACACCTACCTCATGCCCTACCCCAGCCACCTCCTCCTACCATGCCTCAAAACTCTCCCACCCCCATCTGGCACTTCCTCTGGTTCTTTCAAGTCTTCTGAGTGGATCCTGTGCTTTCTCCAATCAGTGGGCTTTGGGAGGGAGTGGTTCGCTTCCCTGCCACCTCATTCTGATTGGAAGAAGGGCTAGAAAGCCAGGATTATTTCCCTCGCACGGGTCGTGGAGCCCCTGACTCTGCTCTCTGTAACCACACAAGTTGACTGTGGTACACAGTTGCGCAGGAAAATGACCTAAAACCTGTAGCCTTGAGTGTTCAGTTTCTCGGGACTGCAAAGGAGGAAACAGATGGTTCCCACCCACTCTGCTGAGTCGGGAATTCCATGCTCCATGGATTTGGGATTATAACACTGCAGAATATTAACGGGAAAACAAAGACAATCTCATACTCCTCTCCCCACATCTGAAACAGGGGGCTCAGAGGGGGGAAATTCCCTTGGAAAGGCTCTACATTTCACTGGTGACAGAACTGAGACTAGAGCCCATGGGTTTTGGCCATATGACCGGTGCCCCTTCCCTGGCGAGCTCTCAACAGGAGAGGCTGTGCAGCGGGCATTTCCAAGCAAGAGTCTGTGAACTAGAACGCTCAGGATTCCCTGGGCTCTTTTTTTCTATTCACTATTCCACATGCAACCTGCTCTGTGTTTTTGAGAAAGCCTCTCTTACCTTAACTAAGCTTCTCCACTGACAAAACACACAGAATGTAATGACATGCATTCCACCCTCACCGGGCAGGTGCTGGCAGCAGATTGGAACTCGGCTGCTGACGCCAGCAGTGTGTCTTTTAGTCCTTGGCATGCTATCATTTCTCGTTTATGCCTACACATACACACACACACACACACACACACACCCCCTGTGGTGACCTGGAGGGAACTCCAGCCTGGCACAAAGGATCTTTTCGTGCTCCTGGAGAGGCTGCAGGTCAGTCTTCCAACACAAGCTCGAGACATTGGGCAGAGGAAAATGACAATGGCACCTGGGTACTCGTTCTCCCTCTAGAGATGGTTTGTGGTACTACCTAGCTGGCCTTCTAACTGGTAGTAGATAGAAAGGGAAGAAAAATGGAATGAAATGGCAAGTGATATGAGGTTATTTTAAGAGGAATAGTTTGGGAGTTAAAAGATTGAAAATGTAGGCTCCACTGAGAAACAATTATTGTTATTACTATTATTAGTATTAGTATTATTTTCATGGCACTATCTCTACACAGTTACTCTTCCCTCCTTGCTTTCAAGCTGACTTCACCCTGAGGGCCTATTCCTGACCCAGGCTTCCCATATCCCTGGGAATGAATTTTCCCTCTCCCCTAGCACTTTCTTTTGTGCTGTCCCAGCTCCAGCTCCAGCCCCAGTTCCATCTGACACCCAAGGTGATGGCCATGGCCCACGTACCAGCAGGTTACTTTCCGTGGTGAGGTCCTGACACTGGCTGCTCTCCAGGCACCAGCCGTGCACTTCCGTGGAGGCCTGCAGCAACAAGGCAAGCAGCAGGGCCCCCGAGCGGCGGCAGCACGACCTCGGCATCTTCCAGGCAGGCCGGGGATCTGCAGAGGCAAGCGAGACCGGTGGGACCCCTGCAAGGAGCAGAACAATGCTGGCCACTCACCAGGAAGGACCAGGAGCCAACATTAACAACACAGCCACCTGTGGAGCGCAAGGCTTTTCGAGGACAGGAGCAGTTCAAGGACAAGGTTGGCGCGCAGGGTGGTGGTGTGAATTGCGCTGGAGAGGAGGGGAACTGGACCCGGGCAAACCATGTGAAATTTCCCCTTTATCTCCTATTAAGAATCAAACCCCAAAGAACATTAGGGCTGGAAGCTATTTTAGGGGTCATTTGGTTTAGCCTCTTATTTGAGAGATGGGGAAACTGAGGCCAAGAGAGAGGCAATGACTTCTCCTGTTCCCAGCACAGAGCTTTCCTGTTTCGCTGCCTTCATGAAGCCATAGCTCTAACACTTCAGATCCACGGGGTGACCTGGGAAACACGAGGATCCTGAAACTCCTGCTCCAGGGGGGTCTCTTCCCCTCCTTCCCCCCACCCCCCAAGATCCTACCACTCCTCAGAAACTACTTCCTGTGAGTAGGAGGTTTGAATAAAGGCAAATAAAACCTCTGGCCAAAACCTCAGCCAGCCCACTTTGCTGTCCTGTACCCTAGTCACTCCAGTGATTGCTATTTCCAGATCCCTGTGACTTTAGAGAGATTAATTTTTAAAGTGACCCCCATTCTTTTAAAAGCGAATCATCTTCGGAGCACATTCACATCTGATCTCGTGATCTCTGGTTCTCTCAGATGTAGTCTGAAACAGCTGGGCTTGAAAATGCTGTAGGTGTAGAAGGGAAAGAGATAGACACACAGTAGAAGGGAGTGACCTCCCACCGTGAACACCTACCAAAGACACTTTCAAGTACCTCGCTGCAGATGCTGAGGTCAAGAGGTCAGGGTGCCTGATGCCTCCCGATGCCGCCTGATGCTGCCCTTCACCCCACGCTCCCCCCAGCTCTCTAGCTTCCATGCTTCCAAGTCCCTCTTCACCCAGGCCGGCCCCCTGAAGTGGCCCCAAGTTCTGTCATCAGCTCACCACCAACTCCACAATCATTTGTATTTCAGAAGATCTTCTCAACCAGCTGTCAGGAAAAACCTTAATTAGACGAGAAAAGTAAATCACTTTAAAGGTGAGGGTGAATCGTCCATCCTAATGGATGTTTGCATTTTAAAATGTTTGCCCGGAAGAAAATTTGTGGGAGTGTGGGCCAAATCTTTTTTTTAAGTGCAAATTTTTTAAGAAGATTTTTTAAATTTATTTTTAGAGAGGGGAAAAGAAGAAAAAAGAGAGGGAGAGAAACATCAGTGTGTGGCTGCATTTCACCTGCCCTCTTCTGGGGTCCTGACCTGCAACTCAGGAATGTGTCCTAGACAGGGAATCAAACCTGTGACCCTTTGGTTTGTGAGCCAGCTCTCAATCCACTGAGCCGCACCAGCTCAGGCCCAAATCTTTTTTATAGCAGAGGCTTTGGAAGTGAAAGCTCTCTCTGGCTCTCATTGCTGCAGGAAGCCACTTCCTTCTCTCTGCACCGCGCCGACTGATTTCCCCCAAAGCTAAGCCAACACCAAGTCCCTTCTGAGTAGCAGCCAGGTACTGCCTGAATGTTCTCAGAGCAGCCATTAGATGGCGCTGGCAGCCAGTGAGCTGCTCCATCAGCATCCCAGGCAACTGGCAGAGCATTGGTCAACCTGATGATACCCAGTCATGACCAAGGACAGGCTGCTCCTGTTCTGGCCCTTTGATGCTCCAGTTCAAGTGTGAAGCCTGAACTTGGTGGACAAGGCAATTCACACTAAAGCCCTGGGACCACACAACACACCTGGGTCAGAAAAATGTCCAGATTTACATTAGATGAACAAAAATGATAATCATATATCACTGTGGCAAGTGTAAGATAACATATTAGTGGAGAAAGGAGTAAAATCATGCAGCTTTGATGGTTTCCTCTGCTACATTTCAAGTCTCCTCGAGTGATTGCCAATTTCTAAAAACGTACCTCATGATTTCAGGCCTCCTGGAAGACGTTCCTTACCGTCTGCCCCTCGGGCGGCGTTGTGCACTTGGTTTCTGTCTCCCCACCCTCCACCCCCCGCCCCCCAGAGCTCCAGTCCACTGCTCAAGAGTTAGGCTGCTTCCCGAGAGCAACTTGTGTTCTGCTTGCTTGTGCTTAGGCTTTATTGTTCTACAATGAATAAATATTGCCTTGTGCCATTTTTTAAAAAAGCACTATAGCAATGGGGAGGTGCCAAATATTGCGCTTTTTGTAAATAGTGTTTTGAACGTCTCAGAAACACAAATAGAAGTCTGTGTTTTGTTCATGTTGACATTAGCTTTATAACAGAACTACGCTTAGTAGAACTTCATGTGTGTAGGCAAATTCTCTGTGAGCCAAACAGGACATTCTGTGTTTCTCTAAAACCGCACCCTGGCCATGCCCTTCTGTAAAGACCAGAGGACGAGGGGTGCGGAGCTTCCTCCTTACACCAAAGTACACATATGTCAGGTCCTAAAACATAAGTGTCAAAGGATGAATTAAGTCGTTAAATAAGCGATAATCTGAACATATCTTAAGAATTGATGAAACAAATACATGCTTTTACTTTCCTTGGTTCCTCCCAGCCATTCGGTGAGAATTGCCACCTCACCCATTAGACACGAGGTCGTCCAAACGCCCTGCAGGCTCTCCCTCCTTCGCTGGGAACCGCCTTGCCGGAGCCTCGGTCAGCTCAGCCGGCTGCCTGCGCCCTGCAATCCGGGGTCTGCCGGCAGAGGGTCCGCTCTGCGGGCCTACTGGGGGCGCGGGCAGAGCGTTTCAGGACCTCGGACAGTTCCTGCCCCGCTACCTCTTCCAAACCCAGCTGCGTCTTGGAGAGGAGACCCAGTCCTCATCACAGTGCAGCGCCCGTCGGGTGCGCTAAGGTGGGCAGAAAAACGAGGATTCAAGGGTCTGCATCCAAAAAGTCTGAAATGCAGGGAATTTGTTGTGACTTTCAGCCTCTCCTCTCCTACCCCACTTTCCAACGTTAATTTGCGCTAGAGTGTGTGGTGTCTTGTCAGTGACATCTGCCCAGAAAAGCAGGCGGAAGAGGTGCCCTAAGACTGGCCCTCCGGCATCGGCCCAGAAGGCGGTAGGAGTCTCAGGTCCTCGCAGCCCCACTCCTCGGCGGGGACGCGGGTGCGCGCTCCGGAAGGCGCCGCTCCCCGTCGCAGCCGCTCCCCTGCCGTCTGGGGCCGGCCCTTGCCGCTCCGCTGCGGCCGCTTCCCACGCCGCACTCAGCACCGAAAGTTGTCAAAGGACACGGGGCCGCTGGAGGAAGCACCCCGAGGTCCGGGTCAGGGAGCCCGGGGTCCCTACCGGGGTCCCCGAGGTTCCGCGTCGCTGCGCCCTTACCTGTCGCGGGGAGACTGCTCGGGGCGACTCCCGTTGCTGCACCGGAGCGAGGGTGATCGGCAGCCTCTCCGAAGGGGGTCACTTTTCTTCCAATCTTCCTCCTCCTCCTCCTCCCCGCCTAGTCCCGGTCGCTCTCCTCGGTCCTTTTATACGGGGTTCGCCGGAGTGGGCGCTGGATGCGGACTTCCCGGCAGGGCAGCGTAGCAAGCAACTCCCCCGTCCATGGAAAGGGGGGCCATGGGGCGCGGGAGGGGGGTTTCCAGGTAGAGGCTGAGCGCGAAGGCAGACGTGCCGGAAAGGGGGCTGGATCTCGGCCCCCGGAGGCTGGAATTAACACTGTCCCGCAGAGGGACGCACCTGGCTGCTGTGAGGAAAGAACTTAATTAAGGACGGTGTTGGGTCTCCAGTTGGGACGGGCAGGCGGCTTAGCACCCCGGTGCGGGGCGCCCGCGGAGGTCGTTGAGCAGAGGGTTTGCATGCTTTAACTGGCATCTGCCTGGTTCGCATTTGCAGGCAAATATCACCGCAGTGAGGGCAGGTCAGGAATACCTCCCAGTTCCCCAGCCTTTGGAAACTGATGTGAGCAGGACGCTCAATCCCTGGTTCCAGGGGCTGGGGGGCGGGTGGGAACAGAGAAGGTCAGGGGTCACTCACCTGGGGACCAGGACAGCTTGCCTCCTTGGGGTGTGAAAGGGAGTTGCGCTGGCCCAGGGCAGGCTTCTCCTGCGCCCAAACCCGGAGGAGAAGGTGCTGTTAACCTTAGGCTATTCATGGAGGGCGGATGCTGTTTGAAGAGCAGCTGAAGTGTTTTCCTCTCAGCCTTGAGGCCTCCCCACGCCAGGGGCTGGCGGCGCGGCCTGGGGTGCTCCATCTTCTCCAGGCCTGGCCCTGAAGCTCTGGCCCGGCCCCAGCCCCAAGTGTCCCGTCAGGAAGGGGGAGACAGCACTCGGCCTGCAGGGGCCGAAACTCTGCCTGAACCCTATGGTTGCTGAGATGTGTTCTGTTTCACTTCCAAACTTTTGGGGATTTTCTAATTATATCTGGAAACTAATTTTTAGCCTAAGTCTTCTGTGCTCAGAGAACATACTCTCCTTGATTTCAGTCCCATGAAACTGGGGGCAGGGGGCTGCTGAATAGAGGGCCATGTGGTCCATTTTGATGAACACTTCATGTGCACTTCAAAAGAATATCTATCCTGTGGTTGCTCAAATAGTCTACATCCTTTCTATGCCTATATCTTTTCTAATTATTTGTCACCTTATTTTATTAATTACTGGTTGAAGTATGTTTTTAAAATCTCCCCATTATTTTTGTGGATGTATCTATTTATTCCTTTGGTCCTGGCATAAAAACAACTCTTTCTAGAAATATAATGGTGAATGTGGGGCAGTGGCAGAGGGTAATAGCAGATCAAGGGTAAAGATGGCAGGAGGTACTAGAGCGTGGTTGCGTGCTGACGGGAATCATTCAGTAGAGAGCGGGAAACTGATGTTGCAGATGAGAGTGGGGAAAGCCAAATAAACCAAGCTTTAGGTAGAAGCGGATCCAGAGGAAGAGCCTGGCCTACAAATAGTGGAGGGGCTTCTT